TCAATATCGTAACAGGATTACCTTTCAAGTTGGTCAATACCATGACACAGTTACCTTAATCAGTCGTGCTACTTATCTTGAAGTGTGGGTTCAGCAAATAAAAGGTTCAAAACTGTCAAAAAGTGATCTTTGTGATAAGATATTAGCATCATTGGACAAAGGACTAGTCACAGTCACACAGTCACTCCATTACACTTACAAGTCAAAACATATGTTTGGAGTACCATGTACATGTACTCGAGTACCTCATCCTGCTGTGATTGAATTTAATGAAGAAGCAACTAAGTGTGTGAATGGCAGTATGGTGGAGTTTAATGAGAAGCAATTATACTGGTCCACTAAGGTAAGTAACAGTATATCATTGCAAACTATATGGTTGTATTAAATGTGTACGTTTAGGTTGTTGAGCTGAATAGCACAACACAAAATACAAGCAGCAAAATATCATCTCAAACTGGTAAATCAATCAATTTGACATGTTTATAATTCAAGCACTTTATCATCTTGTAGAATCCCACATCCCTAAAAGTTCTTCATCCCATGGCACAGCTGCAGTAGATATAGAAGGTTGCTACAATGATTTGATTTTATTTTTGTTCACATTTTGTCTTTTAGTTTGTCCCAGAGACTTGTTTCGTCATCACTCAGCTGATATTACCCAGTGCATCTCATTAGATGTAACTGATGACCACACACAATCTTCAAGCAATACTAGTAGTGTATTGGGACTTAGAAGACACAGTGAAGATGAATCCTCTGAATCTGTTTTAAAAAATAAAAAACAAAGATTTTTACCTGATGATGATGATGATGATCCTCCTCCTTCAGATAAAGGATATGGTAAAAAATCAACTGGAAATAAACCACACAGAATAAATTTTAAAAAATATTATTATTATTTTATTCAGATCATCCTATTTATATTTCTGCAGATGAGGTTAGGAAAAGGAAACAAAATGAAGATCATGATGGTTCATCAACAAGTAAAAGGTTTAAAATATCTGGTAATGACACTACTGCAGAAACAACTATTGAACAGGAAAGCTCATTGTCTCATAATGCAGGTATTATGTGTATGATATGGCAACTTTTCACACAAGATGTTTTCATGTCATAATATTAATATGTTTCATTACTTCATGCAGATCTGTTGGAAAAGAAGCCACAAAAAAGTGATCTTCTCAGGCTATTTCAATCTTCTGATGCTCATTACATGATTATTGGGACTGCATTGAATGTTAAAGTGGATGATCTGTTACATGATCCACACTCAACTACTGATAAGCTCATTCAAGTATTCCAGAGATGGTTAGACTCCAATAACGATGTGACCTGGAGAAATATTATGCAAGTTTGTGAAGATTATCCTGATAAGCTTGGAAAAGCAAAATCTGACGTGGAACAATTTCTTTCATCAGAAAGAGCCCATAAAAAATATCTTAAATAAAATACATTACCTTTATCATTACATGCAATCATTATGTATAATAGCTTTGATAAAAGACCCAGTACAAGGTACATACACTATCAGCTATGATCCTTCCTGTAGAGATTGATCAACAAATAAACCTGGTTCTAAGAATTATGTAAGCTACATACATTTACATTACCTTTACTTTTGTAAGTTTCATTTATAGGTAGTATAAAAGATGAATTTTACAAAAGATTTTTATCCTGTTGATCACTTATTTCTTTACACAATATGAATTATCATTACACTTTCGTCACTTAAATTTTTTGTTATACATGTAAATGATAAAACCATACATTTTTGACATTTAAAATATTAAATAGAAATTATTATAATTATAATATTCATTTCACAAATCATTTCTTGAAGGAGGAACAATCTAAAACAAAAAGAAGATAAATAGATTATGTCCTCTTGACCATCTCATCCTCTCTCTCTCTTCTCAGGATCCATTATTCTCTCTCTCCCTTACCTTCACTTGTTGTCACCTCCTCCTCCTCCTCCTGTTGTTGTTGTTGTTGTTGTT